TGTTATTTAAGGATATAGCTGTGGATGGCTGGGCACTGACTATGTTATCCAGAGAAAATGTGGGCTATGCATCTACATGCAACTCTGTAGGCCAGACAGCTGGCTACTTCCTGGGAAACGTGCTCTTTCTGGCTCTGGAGTCTCCTGACTTCTGCAACAAATACCTCAGAATAGTGCCCAAAGACACCGGCATTGTTACCTTGTCAGGTACTTTCTATCCATAACCCCTAAAAAAAAAAAAGTCAAATATATTTCTGTTGGTGAATAAACAGCAGTTTTGGTCTTTTGTTTCCTCCGGTGCAGATTTCTTGTTCTTTTGGGGTGTGGTATTCCTGATTTCCACCACTCTGGTTGCCATCTTTAAAAGGGAAAATGTACGTGGCAGAAGAACGACTACCACCCCGGAGGAAACACAGGGTGTCATGGAAACCTACAAGTTGCTATTATCCATCATCAAGATGCCAACAGTCTTTACCTTTTGTCTCCTGCTTCTCACTGCTAAGGTAATTGGTCACTATTGGATACATGAAGGTGTCACTTTTGGATATTTGCCAGGTGGAAATGTAATTTTTACCACTCTCTTTGTGTTTCAGATGGGTTTCTCTGCAGCAGATGCGGTTACAGGTCTGAAGCTGATGGAGGCTGGAGTTCCCAAAGAGCAGCTAGCATTGCTAGCCGTGCCCATGGTACCTCTCCAGATCTTCCTGCCAGTGGTCATCAGTAGATACACAGCAGGGCCCAGACCTCTGGACATCTTCTACAAGGCCTTCCCATTTAGGTGGTAACGCATTCTGCACACACTACGCACACATTCAGTAAACAGAAAGCTAAAACGATCTTGTTCTGTGCTGCAGGCTGCTTATCGGATTGGAGTTTGCTCTGCTAGTGTGGTGGACTCCCAGCGTAAAACAAGAAGGAGCTTTCCCAGTTTACTACTATGCCGTAGTGCTGCTCAGCTATGCATTGCATCAGGTTTGCAATTTCTTTGCTGTTCTTATTTTCTAGTCCAGAGTGCTACAGTGTCTTCCAGCTTACTGCCTCTGTGAAAAGACTACTAGCCGCTGTAGTCAAAAGAAGACTCTTATTTCCATCTGCTGTAATTGATATCAGGCAGTGTGGCTCTGTTGTGGCAGAGCAGGAGCAAGAGCCCAGCACATAACAGAGCAGCCATCAATGCCAACAGGGACTGATTAGGTTATACAGAGCATGAAAACAGAAGCTGAGTGGAGATGGGTTGCAAAGCAGCTTCAAGATATGCAGAAAATGTACGCAGGTTAACAGTAGAGTGGCTTAAACATTCACTTGGGGAGCAAAAGGCCGCTGGTCAAGTCCACCGACAGAGACACTCCCCTCTGCGGCTGCCAGGAAGGGCATCCGATATGCAGAGCTTGCCCCTTGTAAATCAGGTTATAGTAGACTGAAAGGACTTTGTTAACCTTCTGTTTTTTGTTTATTATTCTCCAGGTGGCGTTGTATAGCATGTATGTGGCCTGCATGGCTTTCCATGCCAAAGTGAGTGACCCCCTTATTGGCGGGACCTACATGACCCTGCTGAACACGGTCACTAACCTCGGAGGAAACTGGCCTTCCACTGTGGCTCTGTGGCTGGTCGATCCGCTGACCTCTAAGGAATGCCAGGGGGCTGCTGGGCAGAGCTGCGGCTCTTCTGAAGAGGCTCTGGTAAGTGATCAGACGATGAGGATGGGCCAAGATGGTGTGTGTGTTCTCTTCTATAATGCTCTAAAAGTTCAAATAATTCTTTCTCCCATGTTCAAACCTCTAGCTGTGTGTGAAGGAAGGCGGCGTCTGTGTGACGACACTGGACGGTTACTACGTGGAGTCTGTGGTCTGTGTTGTGATGGGTTTAGCCTGGTGGGTGTGGTTGGGGAAGAAAATGAGGCGTTTGCAGGAGCAGAGCCCGGCTGCATGGAAGTGCAGAGTGAACTGAGGAGAACGCACTATCAGCTACTCCGCAGGCACTCTTTGGTTCACTCGACCTTCATTTACTACACCAAAAACTGCTGAACTACTTCCATCCTCATACATCCCGTGTCTCCGGCCCTGCTCTAGCTGCTACATTCAGAAAGCATTTACCCCCACGCTTTGCTTCTGTCACGCTGAATTATACATATGTGAAGATATTCACTATTTTTGTCTTTTGTCATTAATCTCACTAATAGTAAATGATATTGTACTCAAAACTGAAACAACCCTCAGACTATAGCTACAAAGTTATCTTGATTTGGCTCTCATATATATCCTGCTGCTTGAAATCGCTTAACCAAAAAGAGCTCAGTCAAAGATTAGGTCATGTTTTGGGTTCGTTTAAACGTGCTTGGATGGCCAGGCTATGCTGCTCTGCGCAGTTTTTCTTTTTTGTTTTGTTTTTTTACCCCAAATGGCAGAAGCACATCATCCTTTCTAAACCTTTCACAGAAGAAATCTTGTAAAGGAAGAACTTTAGACAGACTCGTTCACCTGCCACACCTTTGTTTGGTCTACGTTAAAAGGATACTCGAGGGAAAGACAGTCAGGATACGCAGAAGCACTAAATCTGACCTAAGTATATGCAGTTTAACTCAGTCCGTGTAGTAATCCAGCTAAATTACCTCCCCCTCAATATTTTCTTAAAATTACTTTCTGAGTAGGTTTTTTTTCCAGTAAAGTAATTTGTGCCTTATTTAGCTTTTAAGTCTTTAAAAAAAACAAACCACCGCTTAGTCTGAGCTGCACTGTAGTTAAAAAATGAAGGCAGGGAATATTAGTTATTTGCAGATGAAGTTACAATGAAGAATACTCGTTTTCACAAATCTACTGTCATTTAGAAAGCTGCACTTAATGATATGGCTGCTTTCATACGCCAGTTATTTTTCTGATTGGGCAGCTAAGTGCATATTCCTTACGAAGACTCTAAATTGCATACTGCGAACCATCTGTGGTTACATGAAGTGAGATATGCGAGATCTAAACTGCTTTATAAATGTGTTTCTTAAATAAGGACCAATTAAAAATGGAATTGCATTGTTGGTCAGTGCCACTCTTCACTGTTGGACCATTTAGGTTTTTAGCAGTCTGCCAGGTAAAGGTGTTTTAAGCTTCCAAAGACAGCTGGTGTGATTTTTCACCGGACAGTATACTTGGCATGCTTCAGTATTCAGCCAGGCCCCAGATAATAATAGACTGCATTCCCCCGATTTATAGATTATTGATGCAGCACATATTAAACCTGATGTAGGCATTTAACTATATCGTCCGTCTGCATTTGCAGTGCATATCGAGGATCTCTTAGCTGAGTGCACCTGCTGGGACAGTACGGTCAGCTTTTGCTATAATAAATTTGTGGTCACTTAGAAAGGTCCTTGTTTTTGCAGGAAAAGCACTTTTTTTCATCTAACTTGAAAAGAAAAATAATTTTTAGACATCTTCACAGCGTCCTTGTTTGTTTGAATAAGTTTTTGTGCTACAGTGTGTACTACTCCCTTCTCAAACAAGCACAGCCTAGCTCTCATGGCCCAGAAAAATGGCGTTGGTCATTGTTAGTCAGTGGTGCTAGCTTCAGTTATCATGCAAATGTAGCCGAGATGGAAGAAGTCCCTTGGATGACCCCAAAAATACAGCTTCCAGATTAACGGAATCAACTTTCTGGGATTTACTTACCTGGATGATTGAGCATGGATCAAGACTGTAGCTCTGATGAGTACTTTCTAACTAAGCGGCCAATCAAGGACCAGTGAGACATCTGTTTTGTTTTTTTGAAAGCTAGACCCACTGATGTACTCGTACTCAGCTGTGCACAGAGGTCTCTCACTCCTCTTTCCATTACACTCAGCTCTTTGAAGGGAGTAGTACACATAGTTGCATTAAAACCATTTTGAGACTATAAGTAACACTAAACTAGCCAAGTGTTTTTCAGCTGTGACAGCATCACTGGAAAAAGTTTATTTTTTTTTATCATCAATCAGCTTTTTTGACGCATTCGTGAACACTGGAATACAGCATTGATGGTTGGTAAAAATGTCCTCTATATGCCTGTGTAGATATTCCACTGAAAATTATGTTTTTGAGAAATTATTATACAATGCTTCATTTGAAGAGCCATACACAGATATGCTTTCCTTAAAAAAAATGTTTCAATGTGATCTCACAAGCCCAAGAGTGGAAGTGTATCTCTTTGGCAGGTGGTTCATTCCCAAGTTTTTATCATTACATATTTGTAGCAGGCAGATAAGGGTTTTACTTGCCGTTGCCTGTAAGGAAAAAGAATTTAATGGCCACCAAACAATTCAGATCTCAGACCAGCGGCCTTTGGAGTGCAACTTGACAAGCGTGTTTTTTCTGATGTTTTTCATACTGTACACACATTCATGAATGAATTTCTCTGAAACCAGCACTTGAAAGTCCGACTGTGTCAGATAGAAAAGCAGAAGTGCACAATCAGGGTTCGTGTGAGGGTACGGCTACCTTTGAACTCAAATGGTTTTGTAAACTGTATGTTTTTATGTTGTTGTTTTTTTCCACGTCTTTGTTCAGTCCCTCATAGTTTACATTAAATGAACTACTTCAAATGACCGCGGGGCCTTTCATGTTCATTTGTGGCCACGTTTTATTTTTTTTTAAACAGCTGAGATTCGGCTTTTTCAGCATTATCAGGGCGCTGTGATTGTTTTGATTTTGTTTGGGAATCAGTAAAGTGTGAAGTTTTTTAGTAGAGGTTTCAGATTATTTCCTGATAAGCTAGTCTTTGAGTGGTAAACTACTCCATCTTTAAAAGAATTATAATTTTTTTTTTTAAAATTACTTTAGTTTTTGTTTTTTTTACTTTGCACCTTTTGTGTTTGTGATGAGTTCAAATCTCCAGTTACAAAAGAAAAGGAAAAAGGACTGATCAGATGTCTGGTGATACATTCAAATGTGCTCGCAGCACAACTTTGTAATTAAACGATATGCAAACATACGAGGTCTCCCGGTGCTTTTCTTGAAATTAAAACACGACACGGCAGTTTGTATTTCTTTTACAGTTTATTTATAATTTTTCTTGCTTTCCAAGACTTCTAAAATGTTGCTCCTTAACAAGTTAATGCAGAGGCAAGGAGGCTGTAAATGCTGCTCCAGGCTTTTGGAGCATAAAAACGGCAGACAGTCCAGATCAACTGGTGCCGCAGCCTCCGATGTGAATCATTCCACGGGTCAGGTGAGGTCCGACGTCCTGAAAACAGCAGGGGCGCAGCATCTCCTGCTGGGTGTAAGACTGAGGAGGGAGGGTCAAAGAAAGCAGCACCGAAATCAGTTTGATGTTTTGTGTGATGGTAGGGGAAGAGACAGTGGTTCACGCTAATGCTGAATGAGGCTCGTGCACCTGGTGACGTGCCGGCTAACCCCACTGATGCAACCCATAGTGTGATAGTGCCTGAAGAGTGGATAACTGAGGGAGGGATCCCACGCCAAATGAACCATGTCACACGTCATCCATAACACTGACGCTCAGATTGTAAAAGTCAACAGGGGTTTTACTCCTTTGAATCGAGGCTCTCTGGTTCATCGTTGATGTGTTTATTAAGACAAAGCTATATTCATCATCACCAGAGCCGCCTCTTATCTGCTACTCAAAGAAAATTTCCTTAATCCTTCTTTTTTTAAAATAAATCCATACCTTTTCACTCAGAGACAGGAAGCATTTTATCTGAGAAGTCCTTTCCAAATTCTTCCAATAGAAGAAGCTCGCCTCCCCCCACTTTTAAACAGCGTAAAGCACTTTGGATATCTTCTAGCCGACTGCATTTCAGTTTGAGTTGCTTGCATACCGTGAGACACGTTACAGGCTGCAGCTCCTCCAAGCATCTCCTGTTGTAGTCCATTTGAGCGGGGGTGGGGTCGGGGTAGAAGACGAAGGTCAACAGACCTGAGGTGTCGGAAGTGGTGAGACGTGATATCGTTGGTAGCACTTAACCATAGCACGCCGGAGTCCCAAATGCACGCACAAACTGCAGGTTCTGACAGTATATGTAGTGTGTGGATGTGCAATTTTGGATTTTCATTGTCTCTAGCATCCATTTCTTTTTGCTTTGTTTCTTAAAAAAATAACATTGGTGGGAGGAAGAAAAAAAAACAGTCAAGAAATATACTCTCCTAAACAGTGGCGGCGGGGTCATAGGTTCATACGTAGATGCTCGGGCCGTTTGGCCATGACAGGATAGGCTTGCTGCTTCATCTGAGCAAGGTTGATCCCAGCAGGCTGACGGATGGGGAGAGGGGCCGAGGCCTCGGCGCTGGTTGTGATGTCCATCTGCTCTGGGGTGGACAGTTCCATGGCCTGGTCTTGAGGAGACTGGAGGACACCGGGTCCACCGCTGGGAACGAGGGGGCTCCTATGCCAACAGTGCCCCCCTGAAAACTTGACCGGGCTGAAAGCACAGAGGAGAAACAGGTGAATGATGAAAAACGGCAGATTGATTATTTTCTGTATTTTAACAGCAGAAAAAGGGCAAAAGACAAGAACTTCAAGTGATTTTATCAGCTGAACTGACGAAATATTGTGATGGAGAACAAAAAAAAGATTATTGATCGCAACACCATGTACACAGTGATCTATAGAGACAGATGTTTCTTTACTGTCTGAGGGAGAATCTCAGGAGTGTGGAGTCGAGCAGATGAGATGGAGAACAACACTAAGTTTGCTCAGTGACCTCCTGCCCTTCACTGGTTTAAATACGCAGACTGGTACAAGATCCAGCATCTTGCGGCACACACTGAAAGATCTGAGCTTCCTCAAAAATCAGAGAGATCTGAGAAAAAGTATTTGTACCCTGGAGAATCAGCAGGATTTCAGCACCGACTACTGTCAAAGTGTGGTGTGATCTTCATCTAAGTAACAGATGCAGTCTTAAAACCATCGGACTAAACTAACACACAGGAGGTCAGCTGGACCTTTCATGTCTTTATTGAACTCACTGAGTAAAAACTGACTCCAAGCTGGAAAAACACAGTAAGTTCTTGAATTTAGGAACTTATAGAAACTCCTTCGGGAGCAACAACCTGATGTTTCATGCAGCTCATGTCACAGTCACTTAGGTCAGGACTGACTTGTGTTCTCCTTCAGCCTCTCCTGAGCTTCAGGCCGACTCACCTTGGGACATGCAGGACTTATGATCTGCTGCCTCTTATCACAGGACATCATGCCACTAATTTTTGTAATAAAAGCACCACAACTTACAAAATAAAATGTTAACTATATTTATTTTAACTTATTTTTAAGCTAATTGCCAACTGAGAATCTGCACTATATCTAAAGACCATAAGTGATCATTTTATCCAAAAAACATACTTTTAGTGCGGTATGATATCTGGCAAATGTTACTTCTGTATGAAAAGCATTTGTACCAGAGGCATCAGCCTGAAGATCGTCTGTCGCAACACAAACATGCTCGTTTCTCACGCTGACATTACCTGAGCGGTGTCCTTGGGCTGTCCGTGATGCGTCGGGGTGAGCGGATTTTTGGCTCATACGAGAATTTTTCTTTGATGTTTTCCAGGACCGATGGAGCGATATACGTGAAACCCTAAATCGCAGGGAAAGAAACAGGTCAGGGGAGACGAAGTCGTGTTCAGGACAAAACTAATGAGAGGAATCCTCGTTTACTACCGAGTGCAGCGACTGTCAGTCTCAGATTTATTTCTGCCCTGTGATAATTAATAATCTTTACAGTTTACCATTAAATCCTAAAACAACTGAGAAATCATTAAGATGACACCTTACTGTCCTCCTTTGAGCCTTAAGAGATGCTGCATATGGACTGAGTACTGAAAACTCTAACAGAGCCTGAGTCAGAAGTTACCAGGAAGGCTTGATTGGCGCTCTCACTGAGGGTCGAGTCATCCGGGCTATCGACGGGCGTCTGACTGGTGAACTTTGAGTCAAACTGACTCACGTCGTCAGCCGATTGCTGCGAAGACAGAAGAGAGGACATGCAGGTGAGGGAGTACAGCAACACGAGCACGTCTGAAACAGGAGAGGTTGCGATTCCCGAAACGTAGGACTTCTTGCAGTTTCCCGCTCGAGTACTCACCAGAAAAGGCTTGAAGGGAGGCTCCACTTTCCGAGCCAGCAACTCCTCCCAGTTGATGTGTCGGAAGAAGGTATGACCCTATGGCACAACCACGCACAAAGCGCAATGAACAGATGGAATATGCGTGTTCTGCATCTATAGATAAGCACTGAGTAGTTCATGGCAGAGCTGGTGCGACTCATCACCGACATCCAGCTGCATATTCTCACCTGCACCTCTGCAGCGTCTCCTGCTCCCGCTCCCAGGCGCGATGAAGCGTTTCTCTTTAGCAACTGCAAAAAAGGAAGAAATAAAAATAAGAAGACAATAACAAGACAAACTAACAGGAGGGGAAAAAACAACCTCTTGATACCTTTTTTAGGAGGTCTCGAGCTTCATGTGTGAGGTACGGCGGGAGGCTGAGCTTACACTTCAGGATCTTGTCAATTGTCTTTTTTCGGTTTTCACCAGTGAAAGGCGGCTGCAGTAAAACATGGAGCTGAGGTTACTCTACCGTCGCTAATGCGGATTCATATTTATAACAGTCCATTAATAAGAGCCAATGAGAAAGCTTTTTTTCTTTCCAGGCTGTTAATGTTTAACTGACCGCTCCTGTGAGCATGTCGTACATCAGAGCGCCCAGACTCCACCAGTCCACCGCTCTGTTGTGCCCGCTTCTCATGAGGATCTCTGGAGCCCTGTGATAATGCGAGTGCTTATTACTGGTGCAGCAATATTACTTAGCAAAGATCATCAAGCGGCCACGAAGAGCGACTCTCATTGCTGGATAAGAGATTAATTAAAAACAAGAAGTGTACTCACATATATTCAATGGTGCCACAGAAAGTGTGCGTGACCGTGCCGTCGTGAATGGATTCTTTACACAGCCCGAAGTCTGTCAGCTTTACGTGACCTTTGAGGAAAACATTAGCCTCACATTAACATATATATTGAAAAAGAGCAGCCATTATAAATCTTAAGGTCATTTTTGATTTTTTTAGCCATTTCCCATCTCACCTTGGCTGTTAAGCATGATGTTCTCGGGCTTTAGGTCTCTGTAGATGATGCCCTTCTGGTGCAGGTGACCCAGAGCCATGGAGATCTCTGCCAGGTAAAAACTAAAGAAAGAGAAAAACTTTAAGCCGGTCTGAGGTCCACATTGCATCTGAGCCATCAGACAAGAAAAGACAAAGCATATATTTTGCTGCTTATGCTTATCTGCAGTGTAACAGAACTAATGAACTCATTCAGACTGTCGACATCTATAACAGAGGTCTCTGAGATATTACATCACCTTTAACCAATCCGAACATTTCATCCTGCAATCTGTGTTTCAGTGCGTCGTCATGCTCACCAGGCTGTGTCTTCCATGAAGATGCCCTCTCTCTCCAGCTGCATAAAGAGTTCTCCTCCTGCACAGGTGAACACATGTTCATGCTACTAACAGCCATATATGCACACTCCTAAATGTCTGACCCGTGTGGAACAGCCGAGTAGAAAGAAGAGGTGACAGTCAGGTTCTCGTGTCTGATAGATGCAAACGTTTCTGCTCGGGAATCTAAACCACAATTATGTGACTCACACTACTCGTATATTAACCTCCATAAACCTTTACGCCTCCATCGCACCGAGACGGGCGAGGGAAATTGCTGTGACCCCTCACACTAACCCCTGCACATTAACTGTTTGGGACACTCCTCTCTGGCCTCACGGCGAAATGAAATAGTATAACATTATCTAATATCAGACACATTAGAGATAAATCCATGATTAACCAGACAGCTACAGTGTAACGGATGTGTGCATTAGATCCTGTTACATACAGTTTGAAGACAGCGTGAGAGCACTCTGGAGAGATGAGAGAGTGAAGAAGGAAAAAGAAAAAGGGTGGAAAATAAAATGCAAAGAACTCTGATTTCAGTGTATTTACAATATTCAGATCTGATGTTTACACTGAACCTGGTTTCTTCCTGTTAAAAGGGAGTTTTTCCTTCCCACTGTCACCAAAACACTTGCTCATAGGGTTGAGGGGGTCATATGATTGTTGTAGTTATATTTCTGGTAATTTTATATTTTATCTGGTGCGAGGTTTCAGAGGGGTTTGAGGTTGCGACGTAAGGTAAATTGCGTAGATTTCCCACTGAAGCATAAATCCCCTGTAAGACGCATCTATGTGCCAATTTTGGTTGCTCAACTCGTGCTGGTTTTTAGGAGCTCACAGGCAGACAGAGATTTCACGCATATAGTAAGATACAAGAAGAGTGCCTGCTAGGAGCCATGTTAATGCTCTGTATATGTGAGTGTACTGCTTCCACTGACCACTCAGATACTCCAGGATGAGGTATAGCTTCCCTCCCGTCTGAAAGGCGTAGATGAGATCGACAATGAAGGGATGCTTTACTTCCTCCAGGATGTTCCTCTCCGCCTTGGTGTGGGCTGTGTCCTTGGCGTTGCGCACAATCATAGCCTGCAAATGAACAAATCGACATTATTTAAGAAGCAGACACAGCAGTATTATATGCAGCATATTTTTGGTCACTGCCTGTTTGTCCCACGTGACTAATACAGAGAAAATAACAAGACTTCACTGTAAGACTCAGGGCTTCAGCTTAGTCATCAGCAGTACGGTGGGCAGAACAACTCAAAAGCTTGACCAACAACACGCCACCAATCCAGGCGACACAGAGACACTATATATGTATGTGAGTCACAGTGTAAGTAAAAGATAACATTTTACACAAGTGGCTAAATTTGTACCCCGAAAATAAACGACAGCGTGGATGTTCTTAGTTTGAAAAGCTACTTCTGTATCCATTAAACACTTAAGTCCCTCAAAATAAAATGCTGTAACATCGGATTTTGCAATATGAAAGTAAAATTAGCAAAGCGTGCCCATCATATTTGATATCTTGCACAGACAGAACTCAGTCAATTCACTGCTGTCGCCAGGAAGTGCGAAACCCTTTAAAGTAAAAACATTTTGCATTTGGCTGCCGAGTTGGATCACATGACACAACCAGCTGGATAGTGCAGTACTTAACAAATGTATTAGTGTAATGTTTATGTCAGAGCTGGCCTAAAGTTAAAAGTATTTGTAATTACATTACTAATGTTGTAGTAATGTAATGGTTAATCCACTAGTACGTGCAAACCCTTTAACTGGAATTATATTTTTAACGTTTGAACATAATTATTGTTGTTAGGCATGGATTTTTAAGTTTACTATTTTACAATGAAGCAGAAAATATAGAAATAAAGAATAAACAGTAAAGCACATTTCTATTATTTTTCATTGAGATGACAAATTACAGTTATTTCCTTGTATTCGTGGACAGAAACATTAGTTTTAGTGGTCGAATGTCATGCATCAAGTCCAGTGTGCTGTCTCTGTTCTTCTGTTTGTCGTTTGTCAGATAAATAATACCAAGGTTTGGGGTTTTCTTAAAGAGATATTTGTGTTTTCTTGTTTTTAATCAGCACGTGCTGAGTGGTGTCTCACTATGGTCAAGCTTTTGAGTCTTTTGGTCTTCCATATGAAAGCAGCAGAATCACATTTCATTATTATTATTCTCAGTCTACTTTAATAAGTTTAGCAAGTCAGATCAATCACCTGGTAACTTATAAACTAAACCAAAAAACATGCATTAAAATACGCGCAGCCCTACCGGAGTACACCGGGAATCATTATGTGCACAGAGAGAAGAAAAGCACTCTTCCTTCACTCTTCTTTTTGTTTACTAAACACTTTTGTCAGAAGGCCAAAAAGCTGTTTCAGCAACTACGCTGTCTCAGCACTGCGTGAAAGACCAATGAGAACTGGCTGATTTGTGCAATTTAATGTGAATTTCCAGCTCTTCTCACTTCTTCCAACTAGTCTACTAACATGTGCTTATGAAGCATCTCAGAAGTCCGCAGTCCAACCTCAGGACTTTGAGCCTTTTCCCTCTCTCACTCTCACACATGCAGCCCTGAATCAAAGTTCCAACTAGAGAGTAAATGAGAAATTATATGACGGTTTTATGGCAGTCGAGGCTGAAACATTAACACACAGGATGATGACGATGCGTTCAGCAGTTCAGCTATCACGTTCAAAACACTGACAGGCTGAAGCAAACGCGACTACTCTGGATTTTATACGGTGCTGTACTAAAGTCTTAAGCCAACTCTCTTTTCTTTACATCTTACTAAGAGAACAGGAAACGGATGCAGCAAGTTATTGAAACACGCAAACATACACGGAAATACAATTTATGAGGCAAAAGCAGAGTTTGTACAATTCTAACAAGCTTTGAAGTCAACTACTTTTATCCTTTAACACAGACTGAACTCAGTTAGGAAAGCTGTCGTGTCATTTCTTTAAGTAGTCTTCAGGAATAGTTTTCCAAACTTCTTGAAGGACATTCAAAGCTCTTCTTTGGATGTTCTCTGTCAAGATGATCACACACAGCTTTAGTAATGTTGAGGTCCGGCATCTGGGGAGGCCAATCCATGACTGAGAGTATTGCTGGATATTTTCCTATTTCTCATGGACATGACTTTCAGATACTATTCATCTGCTTTGGATATTTTTTTAAGGCCTGTCGCATCTTCTTTTTTCCCCCATTTGCCAAGTTTCCTCAAATTTTTTGAAGGACACACTGAACACCATGCCAAGATATGCCAAGTTTTCAACCAAACCTATTTTATGCCTGTCAGCTTGATATATCTTTGTAGATTCACCTTAAGAGATGTGCTTTTGTGACAGGCTACTAGCAGCAAAGTGCCTAAAGATACTTCTTGAATGATTCAGTTTAGTGTTAAAGAACGTGGTTTACCAGCCTCGAGAACTATTCCTCAAGCCCACTTTAAAAATAACAAGAAGGTCATTTAAAAGTCATCCCAGTGGAAGCAAGATATGAGGGGTTGCTCAGGACTTTTACACAGTACTCTACATACGCATATGTGTTTTCTAATGAAGCTATAGGTTCAAAGGGACACATTTGGCAAATGAGTGGATTGAACATTCTCACGTGTTTTGTATCGACGCATTTGGTTTGCTTTGATTTTTCTTTGAAAAATACTGAAAACAAACCAAACCACAGGAAATAGCTCCAAGTTTAAAACTGATTCGAGTCAATGAACGACAGGTGTGAAAACGCCCCAAGTTGTGAATCACTGCTCAAACTTTATCGGATTGTTTTAAACTAAGAAGAATATCTAAGCTTTTCCTTCACTGGACATGAAATCTGAATGGAAGTTTTATGTAAGTGCGATCTCTGGAAAATTCTGGTATTTAACTCAAATTCTGCATTCATACAGTGATCTCTTTCCACATGGAGGGAACAACTGGCAGGTTAGGACAGACCAACGTGCGATGATAAACTGTAGTTTAAGAAAATAAATGTATGCAGCTGGGAATTTTGGGCAAGTCAGGACTGATTTCATACCTTGAGATGCTTCATAAAGATGAAATCTGGCCTCTATCGCCACCCTACAGCCCCGTATCGGAGCTGTGCCGCTGCCTTAAAGCCAAGGGGTTTAAACAAATAACTGAAACGTGGCAGTTCTTTAATGTGTCACTAGGGTCACGTAAGCCAATAAAGCAGAAGCAGTGTGAGAATCGAGCAGTGTCTAATGGGCTGAGGCAGAGTGTTTTAAGTGCCAAGGCTGCAGCAGAGCAGAGCTGATGGCAGTCTACCAACTAGCAGTGAAATCTTACCCGGCCACAGGCTTCAGAGGCAGCCAATGTTTGCAGACCAAAGCATCGTAATGTTTAATGGCAAACATGCAGCTGTGTTCGTATAAAACATAATGAGAGGCGCTCTAATTGATGAACAGGATTGTGTGTTCCGGAATTGGTGAAGGGTAACATAGCAAAGAAAAGGGGAAGAAATGTACCTTTTTTAAAACTTTCATGGCAAATATTTTGCCCGCTGCAGCGCCAACAACCTTTCGAACTTGAAAAACCTGCCCAGGGAGGAAAGGGATCAACATGTCAAAAAGATGCGCTTTAAGAAATGCGGGTCAAAGCAATAACAGACGCCACATCACAGTCACCAAATAAAAGAGAGCGCTTTGTCAAGGCAATGATTACCTTTCCGTAGCCACCCTTCCCCAGGACGCGCAGCAGTTCGAAGCACTCCGGTCGGATGTTCTCTGTGCCCTGATTGACGTTGTCCTCGGATATCTCGATCTTCTCGCAGTCATCCATGTTGCTGCAGAGAGACATGTTCGACTTTCTATTATGCCCGTGCCTCTTTTTGACCTCTTTGGTTATAAAAATCTCACAAAAGTCAAGTTTTAAAAACTTACAACTCAATGCACTGCTCCATGAGATCAGCGATTTGACCCTGGGAGAAAAAGAGGAAAACAAAACAAAGTTGTGAAGGATTTTTCTTAGTTTTTGTCATGAACAGAATCCACAGCAGCCATGGTGTAAATGGTAAATGAACTGGTACTTATAAATAGTGCCTTCCTACTAAAGTTCTTCAAAGTGCTTCTTTCTACACGTCTTATTCATCCAATCACACACGGGACTATTCACTATCCCTAAGTGCTTTTTCTAACACTCACACTCTGATGGATGCACCCAGGGAAACTTTCAGTTTGCCCAAGGATACATTAATATGTGGACTGAAGGCGCTTGTGACAGAGCCTTCGGTTTTTAAGGCTTTCTCTCAGCTTTTAACTTCATAAGGACATACCCAGTCCTCTACGTTTTTAAGTAACAACTACAATAAAGCATTTCTAACACTGAGCTTAGCAGCATGCAGGGCAACAGCTGTTTACATTTAGAGCTTACTTGTTTCATCAATAAATTCTTGTGAATTCAGTTACTCAGCAGCTCTTTTGAATATTGATTAATGCTTCCAATCAATCTTTAGCAAAAAATACCAAACATTTTCTTCTCACAGCTTCTCCACTTGCTGGTTTTCTTGCCTTGCAATCAGTAATAACTGATCTACAACTCACTTGAATAATCACTCACGAAAACAGTAAATATTTATAGCAGTACCTAAATTATAGCCTCTTGCACAACAGCCTTAATAAAAAAAATCTTCCTCTTTAAAGAGACTGATGTGACCTTTCAGCAAAGCTTTCTTGATAAAGTTTACACATGTAGACAGTGTGTGCTGTTTATTGCACTCTCTTCTTTTCAGCAGCTACACTTGGAAGTTTTTTTTCTTGCTTTTGTAATAAGAAGCCTAGACTCTGACAGCAGCTCTTCAAAGCCCCTCATTTTAAAAATGCAGTGTATTTCTGGAGTATTGCTTCCTTTTATATCTCAGCGAGAACAGGAAAAAAGCGGACACTCCGGTGCACATTCCGACTCTGGCTGTCAGTCCTGCCAAAATAAACTGTTGCGCTCGGAGCCACATTTATCACTGCAGCACCTTTGGCCAAGTAAGGACGTCTTGCTCAACTCCCAACATGACAGCGCTGGGCTTTGACACAGCGTCAACACCGTGCGCATGTCATCGCCGGATCACGTTAGCATTAAAGCCGGTGACAGCTCTGTCGCGATCCCGGTCATGCTAATTAGCACTAGCTTCGGCTATGTCCCTGTGTGAAAAGGGCCTGAGCTGTCCGGCTGCAGGAGAAGGCCTGCGGGCGGCTGTCAGGCAGGCTACCACGCTAAGCAGCTAGCTTCCGTGCGTGGAGAGTTTCTGCTGTGACAGCTTTCGCGGTAAATCGTCAGCGTCTCCCGCTAAAGTATACCTCCTCGTTCTCATCGTCGGAGACATTTTCCTCCGGCTGGTCCAAATCAATGTCAAACACTCCAGCCATGGCAGCGCTTCGCTCAGATCGCTCTGTCACACACCGCAAGAATAGCAGGAGTCCCCCACCTCATGGACAAACACACACCGCCGCCATAACCGGCTACTACACTGAGCATGCGCACTGCGGCACTCACAAAGTGGGCGGTAACCTCGTTTCATTTTGTCACAGGGCTTTGGAGCGTTTTTGGGGGTCTAAACAAAGCGCAAGCGAAAAGGGAGCGAAGGCACACACAACAGCCACCGTTCATATTTGCTGTGTGGTCGGCTGCAATGTTCGATCGCACGACCGGCAAGAGAATAAGCTTGAAAATTTTAATTAATTCTAGTTTTATTCCAGACCCCAATATACTGAGGCTATGTATTTGCATAATGATCTTAACTGCTTTCATAGAGAAACACCTTATAAAAAGCCTTATAATTTAACTTATAACTTTCTTACAAGTGTGGTGTGTATTGTCAATATAAGAATGTACCGCATTAGGATTTAACGCCACATTTGACCTCCGACCTTTTGTTCTGACTTGTCATACAGACTATAGTGAGGGTCAAAAAGATGATAATGTTATTTAGAGCTATGTTTCTTACTGCCATTGGCAACATTTAGGAGATTATATACCAATATATGTGGATTCTAATATCACATATCCTGTCATCCTGTATCTCTGTGAGGTCAGAGGTCAAATTTACAACTAAATACCTCTTATCTGTGACCTACTCCTACATAAAGTTTGTGTAATCAGAGTAAAACATCTGCCATATTTTAATAAAGTAGTTGCTACTAAATGTTTGATTTTGAATAGAAGACAAACACACATGTTCAGTCTAGGCTGAAAATGTACACATTTGTGTGACAATGAAAACATGCAATATTCACAATATAATCTTTTTAGGACTTTATTAATGAATTTTAAAAAATCAATTTGGAATGCCCAATAAGATCGCAGGGCTCGCAAAATCGCCCGACGGGCGGGTCTGAGATAGGTTTTGGTCGCCCGACTGGAGATATCGCTAGCTCCAGGACGTCTTGCTAGAGATTTTGCGAGCCCCGAGTTGTGTATTAGTTGATAAAAATAAATAAAACCCCAATAATCTGACAATTCCCTCTGAGCAAGCACTCGGCGACAGTGGGGAGGAAAAACTTTCTTTTAAAAGCAAGAAACCTCCGGCAGAACCAGGCTCAGTGAGGGACGGCCATCTGCCTCGACCGGTCGTGGGACTTTTTAAAGTGACTCATTGGATGTGAAATAAATTAGCTTGTTTGAATCGTTTGTTGTTAGCCAATTTAAAGAGTCACTTTGATGTCAACTAATACACTTAAACTGTCCAAATAATTTTAAAGAAATATTTAGAGTCAATCCTGATGGATTGCTCTAAATATTCATTTTGTTTTCTTGGAAATATAATATCTTTAAATTCGTTCAAAAGTGTCTGGGAGATATTGTCAGTTTCTGGTAGCTGGTCTTCATCGTCCTATGTTTTTCCACACTATGCGAAAAACCTTGCAAGTCGGTTTCGCTTTTTTCGGAACAGGTGGTCTTTGAATATCGAAATCACCACTTGTTGGTACGGCGAAGTTTCAGCCAACGCAATGATAACAAGGTTAGGTGTAATACCCAGTACCTTTGTAATGTCTTTGAAAATTGCCTTTTCAAGACTTTTGATCCTCTTTTTTTTAATATTTAGAGTTTCTTCTTTAAGTTGCGCCCACAGAGCTATGAAGCGACCCTGCTGAATCTCATCGGATGGCGACACATTTGCCTCTCTTGAGGCATGGTGACAGCTGTCTGTGTGACGCCCACAAGTGTATGGTCACAATTGTAATTTTGTTGTGAATTGTTTTTGATGTAAAAGACCTGATTTTATGGTGGTATTGTACTTTTCATTTAGCGTTATGGACAATGTAATTGCGTGGCATTGCCACAAGGGGGAGATAGTGGTGAGTGCGATAGGCCGTTGCAACGCGTCTCTGCCTCAGACGAGGAAGAGCCTGCAGACTGAACGCAACTGATGTCTCCTGTCTCTGCTTTTCTGTTAAAAAAACAGGTCAGTAGTTAAAGTTTGCTCACCGCAATGTACATATAAAGGCAAAAAACCTTTTTCTGTCTTAGTTTAAAGACCGCAAATGTTGTGAGAGAGTGTGTTTTCACCGATTGAGAGAAAGCTAACTATACCGCCATTTGTAATGGCAGCCGCCATTTCACTCGTAGTCTAAATAGGCAGCTGGTCTTATTACCTGTTTTATTTTGTGACAAATGGAGCTCTTAGACACTTCTTTTATCCTGGCATTATTGGAAGTTACAGTTGATTAGGACCTACCCAGTTCTTATGTGTCAAATGTAAATAGTCTGATGTATACTGTTTGTGGATGATTGTGAACTGTTTGTGAGCAATGGAAGAATATTTTTGTTTATTGGTTACAAATGTAATATATTGTTTGAATCTGTTAAAGTATGAGAAAAGTATAAAGGTGACATAGGCGGGTTAATTGCAGTGTTAGTGGTGCTGCACAGAAATGTTTTTGATGCTTAACAGCAGCAAAATTGGTTACAGATTTATTGTAAATAAGGACGTTCATATACAATGATTATTTTGTAAGTTTATTCTTGCGAGAGTGCAAGGTAACCAAAAGGGTTTGAGCTATGGACCTAATTGGATGTTTGTGTTGTTAAAAGAGAAATCTGTGTGTCTAAATGAAAAGAAAAGGACGTTGTTAAATTCTGTTAATAAACCAGACGAGGAAGAGCCTGCAGACCGAACGCAACTCATGTCTCCTGTCTCTGCTTTTCTGTTAAAAAAACAGTTTAAAAACAGACCCCATCGAAGGCCTGTAACACCTTTATGAGCTCTTTAACAAGCAACTGTTCCTCTGACAGTGGAGCTTCCACTGTCATATCATTGCAAGGTGCAGAGGGCTCAGCCTCGCACACGTCACACTCCTTTGTGGAGTTCTTGGTGGGCTCAGGCACTGGTGCATCTTTTGGCCCCTCATGATTCAGTTGCTGGGTGCATGAATTGGGGCAACATGCACAGTGCTCCGATTTCTCCCCCAAGTTGACACTAGGCCCTTGGCCGAAACCACCCAGTACGTGCCGTTCCTTGAGCATTTTCTTGTTTTTGGATTTTAAGTTGTTATGAAGTTCCTCAAGCTCTGTGCTCTTTTTTAGGATTTCACTGTATTTGCAGTTTACCGTATTTTCACGACCATAAGGCGCACTTAAAAGTCTTAGATTTTCTTCAAAAAGTGCGGCGCGCCCTATAGCGCGGTGCGCCCTATAGCGCGGTGCGCCCTATGTGTTGTAAGGAGGACGTAGTAGAGAACACCATGAGAACGTTAAAGGGTGAAGTGTGGGC